GGAGGATCTTCAGATCTGTGGATAAAACGGACAAAGGCATAGAAACAATACCATGTTCGAATTCTTACCAATTTTTATAGAAAATTAAACGTACTTCCCAAAAGGCCAATTAAAGAGATTACAGGTAAGTGCAGTGTCCAACGGATGGCACTGTAGCGCCATTTTGGGGAAAAAATACCGTTTTTGGTTTTTGGATTTTCTCTACAATCAAGAGAGCTATTCAAGTAATTCAAACAGCATCATAAAGCTGGGTAAAAGCACTATAAAAGGATACCTGGGAATTGGATTAAACTATTTCCTTTTGATTTTATCGTCTTTTACGTTAAATTACCCCATATTTCAATGGGTTATTCACTTCAAAAGACGATAACTTTCAAACCAACAATTTCTTTCAAAATCCCTGATGTCCATCTGTGGTCCCCATTTCCAACAACAATACGTGCAATTTTCGTAACGATCGGTTGCTCAGATAGTGAGATATACTTGAACCCGATTCACTTATCTAGTCAATCTACAAAGCTGTTAAAACAGCCAAAGATGTTCACAGGTTAGTTGATAGAGCTTATAAGTCAAATGCTAAGCTAAGAAATTTACCTGTTATTGGTTATAGGATCAGATGGGACCATTGCTCATTGTCATCTAGAAATATTTTGTTTGGGTGCTTTGAAATGCCAGAAAATCGTGTTTTTGTAACATTATTCGATCACGCGTTAGATTTGTAAGCGTGCCGCCATTTTGATTGACAGCTCTGGACAGGTCCCTAGCCTAGTGATGCCGAGTAGGGTGTCAAGGATATGTAGTAGGAAGCGCTGACAAAGGCGATTACATTTAACCACTATTTAGAGGTATGAAGTTGCATTTGAACGTTTCTATGGGCCTTCCTCGGCAATCGAGCAAATTTACCTGGGAGCTTCCTTCTCTCTTATCGGCAAAGTGTTCAGATGAAGTTGTTTGTATCTGTCGAGAGAAAGTGGCCGTCACTCGTGTAAATACCGTTCAGCTATGTAATTATCGCTCTCGTCTATTGTATTTTTTACTCTAAATTTTGTGTGGAATAAATATACACATCCCAGCAGGCAAACGACATTGATTCTACGTTGATTCAACGTTGATCCACCAAAATTAACGTTGATTCAACTGTGAATCAATGTCGTTTGTCTGCTGGGATAATTATGACCGATACGGTACATGTATATAATAGGATTCTATCTAGAGTTTAAATAACTATGAATATTCTTATTGTTATCGTTAATAACTTTATTTGGCTATTCCATAATGTCTATGTACTTATACAACTCTTCAAGGGTTGCCAAATCATTTATTTAAAATCATGATTATTCCTTAGATTTTTAAAACTTATATAAAGGGATTTTAAGCGTTCGGTCTTATCCTTATTATTCTTGTTATGAACAATTTTCTTTCCTTTTCGCAGAAAACACCACATTTGTCAAAACTTTATGTATAATAGAATCACCATGTTCAGCAGGTTGTCAGCTTGTAATCGGCCTGTCAAGTAGCTGACTGGCGGGAAAATTGCGCACGGTACCCGTGGGCGACTTGCTTTGAAATCATTAATGATATACTTATATAGTGACAACAAGTTTTCTGAGAAAAAAATCAGGAATATCTCAAACTTTTGACTCGTATTTACCTCCAGGTTGTAGTTATATATGAAAATAAGTTTATTTTTGAAGTTTCGAAAATGGGAATGATGGCAACATTATTGCAGTATCTATTAGCTGTATGAACTTTTGATTGGAAGCGTGCAAGTGCAGCTCGATCAGGCAGTTTGCCATTCTTCACATCTGCAAAGTCTAATTCTATGTCAGCAGCATTTTAGAAGAAAGTCAGTTGCTATTGTGATTGTTATCGTTTTGGATTTTTGATCTGACAATGTTCATGTAATATTGATCGCAGTCCTCTCCATCAATTTCTGAATCAATATAGACAAAAACCTAAGAAAACCCCTCTTATGTCTCCCATTATGAAAAGAAAATCTCCCAATTAAAAAATATACAATCTAAAACTTGCATATGTACATGTATCTTAATTAACTTGATAAATTCAAATTAATCATTAAATTTATAGTATTGGAGCAACGTACGTGCATAAAATTTAAAATGTCCAGAATTAAAAAAGTCCATGCCACGTTGCATACATAGTCTCTGCCTCACGCCAATGATCCTTAACCTAGGCCATGTGACTTATTACATCACATCTCTCCTTTTTAAAGAAATCACTGTAGTAGATGACAAAACATATTGCCGTTCATCACGAATGCCTGACAGTCTGTTATAGGTTGTTCAAGTAGCGATCAAAGTTGTCTAATCCTCGAAATGCTGGTAATCATATTCCATGAATCCTGATATTTCTTTTGTGTAAGATTGTGTTGAAAGTCGCTACGTTTAAATGTTATGAAAGTTCAGTTGGCTGGCCATTTTAAGCAGGACGTACATGTACACCGTAGATGTAAGCTGGGGAGTGTGAACGAAGAAGAAGTGGATTTTCAAAAGGTATGGTAAGATGAGAATTGTTTCTTTTGGTGTATTGAAATACAAGTAGAAATACGGAATATATAACAGAGGGCGCGTCGACTTCGCTTGAATTTGTTGCTGCATCGATCGACAACGTGAAAAAGTACTTCACTGCAAGGCTGTACAAAACGTTGTCACTAGCAATTATCGAAACAACCTGTGCGCCCATATCTAGTTATTTTGTCGTTTCATGGTATGAGCTTCAACCATTTTGATGTTGAAATTTCTTAGTTTTTAGATGATTTAACGAAAAGTAGACCTAAGTTACACATAATATCAAACAAGTAGACCTACGAGTACTGCACCCGGGGGCGCCCTGTGTCATAATTAATTTTAAAATTAAAGAAAAAAACTTCAAAGATCCTATCGAAAAATGTGGTCTTGAACAAGTCTGTAATTACAAGCTATTGGGTGCTGAATGAACATTTGACTTACCTGGAGTGATAACATCATGCAAGTTTTGAAAAAAGCTAGGCAGCGAATGTACTTTTTAAGGAAATTAAACGCTTTTACCAGAAATGTGTCCATTTTAACAAACTTTTATAGGTGTTTGTGTTATAAAAAAAGTATTTTAACTTCTGCATTAGTCGTATGGCAAGGGCGTGCAACTGTAGAGAAAAAAAGCTGGAAGATTTGGTTAAAACAGCAGGAGACAGATCTCACCTCACGTTTTTTTTTTATTCAAATTGTGAATCTCTTATTTGAGCAGCGAATTACCTTGAGTACATTATTTTTAAGTGAAATAGTATAGTATTTATCTATTAACGTGACATGGGATATAGATATTCAAATCACCCTGCCTCATGGGCCTACAAGTCACCGCGAACTTTGTACATGTATCAGAAACAAAAATATTAAAATCTACGTTTTCGGTGTTAATGTTTTACCATCTTAAACCATAACCATTTTTTTAATTTTGGTAGCCACGCCAAGTGTCAGGCTATCACTATTTCCATATGATCCGCTCGGGGTAAAAGTGATCTAGACACATGAACTTTTCTTGAATAAAAGATCAATTTTTGAAATTGCAGGTTATAGGACTGTACATTTTCACTAAATGCAGCATTGTCTAGAGGTTCTTCAAATATCTAGATAGTCCCTCTTTCGCTTTCGTGTTAATAAGAGATTGCGCAGGTATGTTAAAATGATACGTCTACGACACTTGTTCACCCTCATTCTTCAGCGTCCAAGACATGGATGAAGTGACCAAAAGGAGGTCTAAATTCTCTCTACCGGGGTGACAGGTTAATTTTTCTCCAGGAATACAACGAAATATGTTTGCATCTGTTTTTTTCTTGACATTTTTTTCTCGTTTCTTGCAAATATTTACCTCCGCCAACGGGTTATGTTTTCACCCCTGTTTGTTTGTTTGTTTGCCTGTTTGTCATCAACATAACTCAAAAAGTTATGGATTAATTTCAATGGAATTTTCAGGGTAGGTCAGAAATGGGTTAACTTAGAAGTGATTTGGTTTTGGTGGTGATCCGGATAATAATCAATCAATAATCAATAATCAAAAGTAAAAAAACTAAATCATTATAGAATGAAATTTTAGGGGTGAAACGGCATTGGGTAGAGACTTTTCTACCTGGGCGGAGGTCTGCGCTCTCGGAGTGCTTTTCTAGTTTTACTTGGAATTATTTTTGCACCACTCAGCTGTCCTCAGGTACCGTGTATAGAGTACGCTCTAAACATATGTATGAGTAGATTCTACGACACTTCCCCCCCCCCCGGACAATTCCCCCCAGGACAATCCCCCCCCCGGACGATTCCCCCCCAAGAAATATATATTTATATACAAATATAAAGTAGAAAGTGTAAAGTTTAAACCATTTCATCCATTTTATTAATATTTTTAGTGTGATAATATAACTTCATCATGAAACAAATTATTTTATAACAAATTCCCTTTTCATTGAGTACAAGTACAGGAAGATTTATTAAGTATGTAATCGAAGTATAACCACCTATCATTCAGGTAAAAGTGGGGTAAACAGATGAACAGATAAACAGATATTTTATAAATATTTTTAGTGTGGTGGGTGGTGGTCAAGCAATTAAAAGTGACATATAGTCACAGGGATACCTGGATAAGCGAGAAAATCTGTTCACCCCACCTCTCCCTAGAGATGAACCTTGATTCAAGACTTACTGAATCAAGGGGTGGGGGGAAAAATAAAGCAATTAAAATTAACAGCTACTTCATCAAAGGGCTACCTGGATGAGTGAGATCGTCTGTTTACCCCTCCTTTACCTGGAGATATACAGTGGTAGTAATAATTTTGTTTCCGTTGTACACCGATTTAACAAAGTTCGAAATGTTTTAATCCCTATCTGGTGAATAGAAGGGGGCGGACAAACAATGGAGGGCCGTATAAATCCCTTCAAAATTCGAACGCACAAACACAATAGCTTAGGTGGAATAACACGAGCGCGACAATCCGCTGTAACTACATGTAGGTGTAATTAACAGCAGGATACATCAACCAGAAGGTCCCCATTGTTTGTTGCGGCGATAGGATGTTCCCGGTGGCCACTTGTCCTTGGTGTCCCCCCTGTGCCCGGTGTTCCACTCGTTGCTGGTGGGCCACTTGTACCTGGTGGTCCTCCTGTTCCTGTTGGCCCTGTTTTGCCTGGTGGCCCTACTGTTCCAGGTGGACCCCCTGTTCCCGATGGCCCCTCTGTTCCTAGTGTCCCGGAAGTTCCTGGCGGTCCTGCTGTTGCTGGTGGTCCTCCTGTTGCTGACGGTCTTCCTGTTCCTGGTGGTCCTCCTGTAGCGTGTGTCCCTCTGGTTTCTGGTGGGCCTCCTGTGCCCTCTGGACCACCTGTGCCAGAAGGACCTGCAGTACCTGGTTGTCCACTTGTGCCTAATGCCCCCTTTGTCCCTGGTGGTCCTCCTGTTCCTGGCGGATCTCCCGTTCCATGTGGACCCCCTGTACCTTGTGGACCACCTGTCCCTGGTGGACCCCCTATAACCGGTGGACCACTGGTTGTATGTGCTTAGGACCTCTTGCACATGTGACTCTTTGCTGTTCTACAAATGTATTCTGTATGTACAATAACAATAATAACACAGTATAATGTATTGCCTGTGTTTAATAATGTTCTGACAAGCGCATGACATGTTTGGCACATATGATTCATTTATGTCTAAAAAAAAAAGGCTCATTTCAAGAACGTTTTTGTGATCAGAAACCATAAAATAATTCAGCACAACCGACGGACTATTTTTGTAATCACAGTTTTAACTAAAGAGTTTTTATTGTATACCAAACCTCAAAATTACTTTGACCTCACCCATCAAAACTTACTTTGTTAAAACAGTCCCTATAATATAATTACATCGATCTTGTATCTCCTTGGAAAGTGAGTTTTTAAATCCAGTTACAAGCTAAGCTTAAATAAGTACATGGTAATTAATTCCCCGCGATTGCAGTAAATGGTTGGAGACCTTCTCAGGTTTAACTAACATAAAAGTTTTTGTCGCAATTTAGCGATGGCGGCTTTCTCTCTGCGTCGCGCCCGGAAGTAAACAATGTATATGGCAATGGTTCCAATGAGCACCGTCCCTATTATGCAGCCTAGGGTGATTTGGTGTTTTATAGCCGCATCCAGCTTTGCCTTAAGGTCTGTGGATGAAACATTAAAATCGGTGTAGACAGATATCAAAGTGATTGTAAAACAGAACAGATTAGGAAAAGTTCAAATAATGATTTACTTTGTAAGTTTCTGATTGAAGTGAACCTGAGTAATATTGTCAAATTGGAAATTTTAAATTTTTCACTTAATCCCAATTCAAACTGAAAGTGTGCCTGTGAAAGCTTTCACCTCAACACTTGGGAATCCATCAGCCATACGGAAGTTATGAGACAGTGTATAGTGAACAGTTTAGTGAGAACTGATCACTATTAAACTGTCCCAGAGCTGGAAAACTTTGTGCCACCCCTCACCCCAGTTCTTTTTAAGTGAGGTCCCCGGCCCTGATTGAATGATCGTGTGCCTCTGTGGAAGTGAAAAGTTTAAAATTTTCTCAGCACGGCTTAAGTTTGTTTCATTGTCTTCAAGTGATTCATTTAATAGACACTAGATACTTACTCGTCATAGACTTATTTAAAATTAATTTAATATTTTTGCTTTACTCCCTGTAAAGAGAAACAATTTACGAAAATTCGCCCGTTGCCACTCCTATATACATTATTATATATGCTCTATATGCACAACAGGAGTAGTAAAACGTGAACAGAGACAGAGAATGAGCGAGAGAGGTTGACAAAATGCCCCACAAACCTGGGCTTATATCTTCTGCATCTATTAATTTTCCGTGAGGCCCGTCAACTGGTACGTGTTGCATCCCAGCAGTAACAGCAGAACTCGTGACCACTGAAGGGGTACCCGGTGGACTCAGCTGTCTTCCAGGACGCATTTGCACCATTGTCATGGTATCACCCTTCTGTCCTTTCTGTCCAATGGCACTCATCCCCTTCATTCCTTTTATCCCCTTCATTCCTTTCATGCCCATTTCTCCTGTCGCACCAAAATTCCCTACATTTCCCCCCATTCCCTTCTGACCTTTTTGACCCTTTATGTCACCAGGCGGTCCGACCATACCTTTCAAACCTGTAATATTGACATCCTTAATGTGTCAATACATTATTCACAATAAGTGAAATCCAGCTCATATAATACTAGTTCTCGGCGATTTCATAAAATGTGATTGTTATTAATTGTTCTTTCTAGAAATCCATTTTATGCCAGTTAGACTTTACCAGGTGTACTAATGGACATCCTGGGAAATGTTTAATTTTATCCCCAGGGTGCAATCATTACCCACGCCCTTTTCCATACATTATTTAACTACAATATCTTCTATATTTCCCTGTCATCAAGTCGGTTAACTAGGCATAAGGGGTGGTAGTTTGAGTGTGTAAACAATATTGTTGAATCTGGAGAATTTTTGCCTGGAAAAATATTGATTTCATGCTTCCCTCCCTTAATCAAATTTAGGCAGCTTTCAGGTATGACCGACTGAATAACCATACTGCGGATGAAGTTGAAGAAAAGTTGTCTATATAACAAAGGTAATGTTCAGTTTGATTTATTTCCTTTGGTCTTACCTTTGGGTCCTTCTGTACCTGGGGGTCCACCAGTGCTTATTCCTTGTGGACCTCCGGTTCCTGGGGGACCGCCTGTTCCTGTTGGTCCTCCTGCACCTGGTGGCCCTCCAGTTCCAGGTGGTCCTCCAGTTGCCTGTGATCCTCCTGTCCCTGGTGGTCCTCCTGTCCCAGGTGGCCCTCCAGTTGCCGGTGGTCCTCCTGTCCCTGGTGGCCCTCCAGTTCCAGGTGGCCCTCCAGTCGCTGGTGGTCCTCCTGTCCCAGGTGGCCCTCCTGTTGCCGGTGGGCCACTTGTCCCTGGTGTCCCCCCTGTGCCCGGTGGTCCACTCGTTGCTGGTGGGCCACTTGTACCTGGTGGTCCTCCTGTTCCTGTTGGCCCTGTTGCTCCAGGTGGACCTCCTGTTCCCGGTGGTCCCTCTGTTCCTGGTGGCCCCTCTGTTCCCGGTGGTCCCTCTGTTCCCGGTGGCCCTTCGGTTCCTTGAGGGGCTCCTGTACCTGGTGGTCCTCCTGTCGCTGATGGTCCTCCTGTTCCGGGGGGTCCTCCTGTACCTGGTGGACCACTTGTTCCAGGAGGTCCCTGTGTACCTGGTGGTCCACTTGTTCCTAATGCCCCCTTTGTCCCTGGTGGTCCTCCTGTTCCTGGCGGCCCAGCTGTGCCTGGAGGCCCTCTTGTTCCAGATGAACCTCCTGTGCCAGGAGGCCCTCCTGTACCTGGTGGACCACCTGTACCTGGAGGGCCATCTGCACCTGTTGGGCCTCTTGATGTTCCTGGCGGGCCGCCTGTTCCTGGTGGTCCTCTTATACCTGGTGGGCCCCCTGTTCCTGGTGGGCCCCCTGTTCCTGGCGGCCCAGCTGTGCCTGGAGGCCCTCCTGTTCCTGGTGGACCACATGTCCCTGGAGGCCCTTCTGTTACCGAAAAACCCACAGCTGAAAATCATCGTAAAAAGACAGTAGAGTTGGGCGTTAAATTGATCTACGACTGAAAAATTTAATTAACTAATAAAATTAAATATATAAATGCTATAACAACTGCTTTTTTATCTTTTACAAATTTTATTTTATTTCAATTTAATTACTAAATAGTAAAATTGCTTACATGCGGTCTCAGGTAGTTCTAATATGGCCGGGTCGCAAGAGGAAATGCCTGTAGAGTAATAGGAAATACACGTGTAGAATTTATCAAATTATCAGATACGCTGTCATACGTTTTCTCCTCCTGTATAAAAATAGATAGATAGATAGATAGATAGATAGATATATTTCTTACCTGATACGTCACGAACCAAAGCACACAGGATTACAATTTTAAGCCAGTGTAGCTGCATCCTTCTTTCTATCTGCTCTGAGTCTGATTAATTATGTTTTTAACAAGGAGGTGTCTCTTTCAGCTGTTGGACAAAAGAAGAGTGCAATATATTTAGCTCAAACATAGAAAAACAAAGCAGTATCAAAGCCAAAGAGTATTTTAGCGCACGATTATTCGTTTGTTTTTACACATTTAAGTGTAGCTATTTTCAGCAACATAGACCTTTATCTTAATTTGTTTACTTATATGAAGCTCCCATCTAAGTTAAAATTGAATTTATTTGTGAAATAAATAATTGGAAAACGGTTAGCTTTGAATTGACGAAAGATGAAAACATAAGACACTGGATTTTAAAATGTCAGTTCAAGTGCATTTAATTACATACTGGGTATATAGATATATATACAGTTTGTTATTTACCTTACCGTTTCTTACAGCTACTTCTGTGCGTCTATTCTGTTTGGTGGTGCGGAATATTCACTCCGTCTGAACAATGACGCCTCTAGTTAATCTGTTTCACGTTTATAGTTTATGACACAGGACATAATACTTTTCAATTTTACTATAACCTTAGGTCAAATGTTGCTCATCCCTCGTCACATGCCGTGGGCAGTATTGTGTATAGAGTACACAAAAATTTTGCAACACTTTGCCTTTCATCTGTATTGATATATATTTTGATTGATTTTCTATTGCTATTTATTTCGATTGTGTATTTGTCTAAAGTTTTCAAATATGTGCATGTTACATCGTTATCTCAGTGATTTCATTTGAAGAATATTTCACAATCCTGGTGTGCCAGTCCCTTTTATCAACCCTGTAACACGCAAATGCGTTTTTTATATATCTAGGTGTGTCGTTAAACGCTTTGAATACAATAATAACAGTGAACAACGGGACACAATGCACAAGAGGAGCATATTAAAACTGAATGTGCGGAATGAGTTAGCAATCCTGCTTAATTACAATGGAAGTAACATTTATGTTTCCGTTGTACACTGGTTTAACAACGTTTTAAATGTTTTAATCCCTGTACTGTGAATAAAAGGGGGCGGGCAAACAATGGAGAGACGTATTAATCCCTTCAAAATTCAAACGCACAAACACAATAGCTTAGGTGGAATAACACAATACTTAAGACGAGTGAACCCCTTAACGCCGGTTTCTGTGGTCAAGGGCGACAATCAACTGTACCTAGGTGTAATTAACAGCAGGATACATCAACCAGAAAGTCCCTATTGTTTGTTGCGGCGGTAGGATTATAGCTTTAAGAGGCTATACCGCGTGCTACCGCGTGCCACTAAACCGTCTCCCGTAGCGAACTGTCCTTTTGTTCACTAGCTTGGCACGCGCAGCTGATCATATTTTAAGTGTTGCTAGCCAAGAACAGGCCCGTAACCAGCAATTTCAAAAGGGTGGTTCTTTTTCTGAAAAAGTGGACCTTTTCCCATAAAAACCTCTTGTACCTAAATCAAATTTTACCCAGAGTGGACCTTTTCCCAGCAAAAGGGGCGATTCTTTCGAACCCCCAGAACCCCCCCTGGCTACGGGCCTGCAAGAAGATATAACTTCCTGTACTAGCAAACTGCTAGTTAAATTTGGTATCAGTTATTTAATTCAATATGAAGTGTTCCGTAGTCAAAAACTGAATTTGATTAACATGCATAAGCATCAGCATTGTGCATCAGCATGATCAACAATTCACCATGTTTCAAAATTCTTATTGCAGATAGTATTTATAAATTATGAATGATGATGGCCAAAAATTTTGAAGATTAAAGATGCTCCGTATATAAATTTCCATCCTCGCGACCTGTGTAAAAAATAAAGATTAAAAGTAACAAAGAAAGCAACATTTTTTTTAATATTTACAGAACAAGCTGAAATGTAGCCTCAATTACTAAAAAAATTTATTTGATATGGACAATTGGCTTGTACCAGTCTTATTTTATTAACATTCTCCATCGTCACCGTTGAATTAACATTATTATTTTACAGCACTAACCTTATTTAACAATCTAATTGTTTAGGCCTGGTTTAAGTTTGTTTAAGAAATGATAGCTGTCGTGTTTAACAATAGACTGCCAGCTATAGTAAGATCCCCCTCCTCTTTTAACCGATGTCATTCATTGTTAATTGCCCGTACTTTATATAGTGTGATCACACTGTCAGTCTTCCCCCTGTTACACGCTGGAGTTAAATTGTCCTTGGGCCACTGCTCGATATTTTTTCCTATTCTGTTGTTTATATAAACTTTTTCACTTCTTTTCAAATATTTTCATCTCATTTTCCATTGTGCGCTCCGAGAAACAGATTATTATTTCCCACAACAGAATAAGTTTTAAAGCAATTTGTCAGCTCATAACTATGACATGGCGCCCTTTTTTCTGGTTGCTGTTTAAAAATGGACATTAGTTTGTCGAGGTTTAATGCTTACCCTAACGAAAAAGTCCTATAGGATCCTTTCGGGCTTTTTCGTAAGGGTAGCTCTTATAACGTTATATTTATGTGCATCTAAACGATAAGATGTCAGTTTTATACTTGACTGTTATTGCCCGGTGTCGCACGTATGCTTTCTTACAACAGTGATCTAAAACAGGTCGCTAGTGGATTTAAATATAGCAAATCTGTTCGACAGGACGTTTCTCCACAGCGGCCGAACACACAGTGATTGTACAGGCCTTGGTTTTAGCTTGTTTGAAATGATAACAATCACGTTTAACAACAGAGTGTGAGCTATAGTAAGACCCCCCTCTTCTTTAACCGATGTCATACATTGTTAATTGGCCGTACTTTATATCGTGTGATCACACTGTCAGTCTTCACATGTTACACGCTGGAGTAAAATTGTCCTTGCGACACTGCTCGATATTTTCTCCTATTCTGCTGTTTATATTAACCTTCTCATTTATTGTTGTATAATATCATCTCATTAACCATTGTTCGCTCTTAGAAACGGGGGATTTAGCCATTTTTCTCATAACTATGACAGGGCACCCTTTTTTCTCGTTGTTGTTTAAAATTGGACGTTAGTTTGTCGAGGTTTATTGCTTAGCTCTTATCGCGTTATATTTGTGTGCATCTAAACGATAAGATGTCAATTTTTCACTTCACTGTTATTGCCCGGTGTCGCACGTATGCTTTCTTACTACAGTGATATAAACAGGTCGCTAGTGGATTTAAATATAGCAAATTGAAAAAATCTGTTCGACAGGACGTTTCTCCACAGCAGCCGGACACACAGCAATTGTGAAGGCGTGATTTTAGCTTGCTTGAGATTGATAACAATCGCGTTTAACAATAGATTGCGAGCTATAGTAAGAACCTCTCCCTCCTCTTTAAGCGACGTCACAATTAACAGTACTATAATGTAAAGGCGACAAGTTATTAGATTGTCAGCCTTTTCCCTTGTTGCACATTGGTCTTCGATTATCATTTCCCTACTGCTACATATTAGCTTTTATTGGCATTTTTTTTTTAAAAATCGTATTTATTTTTTATACTTTTACTACATTAGTCTTAGTGTGTTATGAGAAACGGGGGGATTTTTAACACAGCAAAAGAAATGGGAGTGGGGGGTTCAAGATCAAAAGGATTTTTTTAAGGAATTGTCTAATAGGTTGCTGTGTTATTTAAACCAAAACGATTTCCTGAAAATCAAATTAAAAATTAATGTCTATTCCAAAAAAGTGTACATTAATACATCAATGAGTTTGCATTTAATGTAATTCCTCCTTAAGGGTTATGTGCTGAATATAATGGCACACCTTGATGCGAAACAGTCTATTGTTTCTTCCACCTTGGGTCCCTTATATTTAAGTACTATGTTGTATTACTCATATTATCCATTCCATTTGACACTCTCTCTGTTTTTCTCCCTTCCACTCTCTCTTGTAAGGAGGGGAAATAATAAAGCACCAAAATTTTGCATCGATCTTCAGAAAAGAAATGAGTCAATGAACCAGTGGGCTGGTCCACAACGTCCGATATAGCAAAATTAAATCAAATGACAGCTGGCACAATTTTAACTGCAGTTAGCTAGTGTCGCTAAAGATATAATCCGCGCTTGAAGCTGTTGAACAAAAGGATGGTTCGCTACCGTTTGTTTACATAAGTTCTCTAAGGGGGCGTACCTACCCAGGCGAACAGGGGATTAGGCTAGTCACTATAAGCCGTCAACAATCGTTTAGCGACCCTATCATTATACACTCCCTCTATTGTATTTTCCACCGCAATAATCACAGTGTAATCTTCAAATGGTCCACGGGGTAAATATACTAGAACGGTATATACTTTGTTCAGATTTTTAATAAAATGTTCTGTACTTCTATCTCGAAAACTTTATGTACTTGTACTCCATGAAAATAAATTGTTTGATAAAATTAATATCTATCCTTGATTTGCATCATCACACTAAGAAATATTCAGAAAATGGATGAAAAGATTTGAATTTTGTACTCTTAATTTTATATTTGTATATAAATATATATATTCTTCGGGGGTAATCGTCCGGGGGGGGGGATTGTCCTGGGGGGGATATTGTCCGGGGGGAATAGTCCGGGGGGGATTGTCCTGATACCGTATGAGTAAAATATCGCAAGGGCAATGTACATGTAGAAGCCAATCAGAGGTTTAAGCTAGATACAACACCTGTTCGGTATTTTGTCATATCATGCTTATTTTCGAGCATGATACCGTGCCTAACAAAACATATTGCCGTTCATCACCAATACCTGAGTGACTTAGGTGTGATTTCCTGCAAGGCTGTCAATAGTTCCCAAATTGGGTTGTTCAAGTAGCGATCAAAGTGGTCTCCTCCTCGACATGCTCGTGATTATCTTGTTATGACCCAAACAATCAACGGTTAATAGGCTTCTTAACAGCATGTCAGCTTGTTATCGACCCGTCAAAAGGTACTGTAGCTGACAGACGTCATAACTGCTTTGTTGTGAAGTTATAAGTGACATATCTGAGACGGAATATGTCGGAAGTATCGCAAAATTTAAATCATGTTTACCA